TGAATTCATGATAGGCATGGGATCCAGGGATGAGCAGGGACCATGTTTCTTGGATCTGGACCACAGAAAGGCATTTAAGGTTTGGAGAGTTTGCCATCATCTGCTTTTTGCAGACTTCAGCAAAATCTGCAATCTATAGTTCTGAGCCTCCCAGGGATAAGAGGAAGCAGAAGAGAAAGACAACAATCTTAGTTCAGCACTAACACTATTGAATACACAATGCTGCATGTATTTAGGATGGAAAGAACTTGGGATTGATTGATTGATTGATTGATTGATTGATTGATTGATTGATTGATTGATTGATTGATTGATTGATTGATTGATTGATTGGATGGATGGATGGATGGATGGATGGATGGATGGATGGATGGATGGATGGATGGATGGATGGTAAACTGGAATTGACCCTTAATATGGGGCTTCTGGATTTGGCACTTTGTCACTATGTTAGCTATTTATTCTTACAAAACTCAATATATTTTTCATTCCCAACTTTTTTCAAAGGAGCTCACACCCTTTGTCTTCCTCCACTACTGTGATGCCTCTGATGTACAGGTGCAAACTGTGCTACTGAATTTCAGCAACAAAGGCTGTAAGAACAAACAGGGAGTTCTCATTTTGTTACTTGGTTTTTGGTGATTTGCTGCCTAAATTCAGAAGCAAGCTTGTCTGTGTTGCCAAATGGGGATGCCCAAAACTGTCCTCTCTCTCTCTCTCTCTCTCTGTGCGTGTGTGTGTGTATGTGTGTGTGACATGCACCTCATGAGCTGCTAGTTGTCTTTTGCCTTCTCTGTTGTCAAGTCAGAAGGTCTGAGGCTTGAACGTCTTCCTTAAGAACCCCATAGACTCTATTTAGACCCTATCTGCAACCTTGATACTATGACTCCATCACTCACTTGATAATCTCAGGGCTGTTCTATGATAATCGGCTCCTTTTCTCTATGAAATTAGATCTAGGACTGCAAGTCATGCCCTTCCTCAAGTCTAAAGCACCCCTTCAATGATCTCATAGAAAATCGTATGCTTTCACTTCCTAATTTTATAGACATGCCTGAAAATAGCAAAGACTATGGTCAGTTAAAGGACACCAAAAGAGCGACAGGTAATCCAATTGATAACCAAGATATTCTTTTTCCTAATTGCAATGGTTTCATCCTTACAAAGTAGACATTCACCTAAACTGTCCTCGGGGATGAAAAAAAAGAAATTACCTTTATGAACTTCAAACCCAGAATATCCCAGTCAGCATGACCAGTTGGGCACTGTGGTTCCTCCAAGTAATGCTTAGGGTCTTTGACATTAGTGAATTTCTAACGCTGCCTTTTCCTCTCTAGCAATGGAAGCATTTCTGACTTTCCAATAACCATTTCTGTTTATTTACAAACTCCTCTCACTCAGTTTCCTCTCCCTTTGCTGAAATTCACTACAGAATGCGGAAGGAAGGAAGGAAGGAAGGAAGGAAGGAAGGAAGGAATTGGTTGCTTTTGAAAATGATTTTTCCCCCAAAGTTTCACCCTAGTCAGGCCTTGTAAACATTAAGGTTTTCTTGGTTCAATGACCCATTTGTTACAGACAACAAAACAAGGTAAGTTTTTCAGTAGCCAGATCCTGGGCTGCAGTCAAGGAAGCTTTGTTGCTGGCTGTAAAATCACAGAGTTGTTCCCTCCAGGATGCCATGACCTGTTACACAAGCTGATGCCATTCTCTGGAGCTGCAATAACTAACGTGGCATGAACAGGATGAACTTTAAGATGGAGTTCCCTAACGTACAGGTCCCCACCTTTCCAAATGCAACACATGTGGAATATTATATATAATTTGGTGGTATCTGTATGACCCGTGGCTGACTGGGGAAAAGGGAACTTTGGATGAGAGATGGGTACAAAATAAACCATGAACCAAAAAAAAAAAATCCTTGACCAAACAGGCTGGTTCGTGGTTCATTTCATGGCCCAGTTTGGGGTCCTGTTTTGCAAATGAAAATGCAGAACTTTTTCCCCCTTTGGTGGTTTGTTTGCTTCAGTGAACAGGGATGCCCACCTGGGTCCTCCCCATTGCCCCCTACCAGCTCTTGCCATTTGTGCTGCTGCCTCCACTTCCATGGGTCCCATCCTCAAAGGCAGTGAGCCCAGCTTCCTGGCCAGGAGCCAGGCATTACCTCTGAGCATGCATCAATGGAGGCAGCTGGAACAACACAAATTGGAAAAATGAACCCCCAACACAAATTGGAAAAATGAACCACAAACATGTTAGTTTCTCCTGGGGTTTGTGGTGGTGCTTAGTTAGCCACAAACCATAAAACACAATTTTTTTTCCTGGTTTGTGCCCATCTCTCCTTGGGATCATTGAGCCCATGAGCTCATTGACTACCTTGCTGGACAGCTCCTCTGCTAGAAGGAACACCTCCATCCCTGCCTTTTGGGACATTCGGACACTGGATATTTCCCAGCATGGAAATCTGACCTCCCCCTCTCAAAGTAATGAGAGCAAGAACCCAACCTAGTACAGACTCATCTTTTCTGCTGCTTTCCTTAAGATATTTGGCTTCCTAGTTCCCCTTTAGGAGATGTTATTGGCATTATTGGCAAAAGCAGAGACATCGCCTTGCCGACAAAGGCCTGCATAGTCAAAGCTATGGTTTTTCCTGTAGTGATGTATGGAGGTGAGAGATGGACCATAAAGAAAGCTGACCACCAAAGAATCGATGTTTTTGGATTGTTGTGCTGGAGGAGGCTCTTGAGAGTCCCCTGGACTGCAAGGAGAACAAACCTATCCATTTTGCAGGAAATCAACCCTGAGTGCGCAGTGGAAGGACAGATCCTGAAGCGGAGGCTCCAAGACTTTGGCCATCTAATGAGAAGAGAAGACTCCCTGGAAAAGACCCTGATGTTGGGAAAGTGTGAAGGGAAGAGGAGAAGGGGACGACAGAGGATGAGATGGTTGGACAGGGTCATCGAAGCGACCAACATGAATTTGACCCAAATCCAGGAGGCAGTGGAAGACAGGAGGGCCTGGTGTGCTCTGGTCCAAGAGTCGGACAAGATTTAATGACTAAACAACAACAACAAACTGGCATTAACTGTGATGCTCGCATGCAGCCAATATGTCTTGGGAACCCCCCACGCACACCCTACACAGCCGTTCTCTTTGGTTTCAACTTCTCAGTTCCCCATCATTGCCCTTGAGCCACAATGTCATCCAAGCAGCTCTGCCAGCCCAGAAACAGGCTCCTCTTGGGGGAATCAAGGTTAACGTGGCTTCCAGCCCGATCCCAGCAATGGGACCTTGTATCATAATAAACACGGAGATGAGGAAGAAACAAGGCAGTGGTGGGAGTGAACAACAGGAAGGTAATTTGCTAATATACTAAGAGGAGGTGGACAGCAGGGAGTGTGTGACAGGGATACATGATTTGCATCCTTCCAAAAGGACCTTCCCGAAAACCGAGGCAGTTGCAATGCCAAGAGAGCTTTACAAGTGGAAGGGTGTGGGTTCTTTTTTGGAAGACTGTGCATGACCTGGGTGCTTATTAGCAATCTCAGTAAAGCTGGTTTGTAGGCATCACACCCTCAAGGAGCACTCAGCAAATTGGTTGTTTTGATTATTATTTTGGGTGTGTCCCAGTAGACAGACAGCAGACTGTCTCTCGCCTCCCTCCCTCTTGAGGTGCTTGAATGCATCTCTTACTCTCTCTTCTCCATCCATTCACTATTGCCCTTCACCATGAGGTTGGTTCAACACACATTTGTAAGATTTCCTGCAAAGACAGAGGGCAGGAGAGAAAAGCTGCAACATCACAGAAGCCACGCAGAAACCGCACTGCCCAGGCATGCAGGAGGAGAGAACACTGAAGAAATGGGAGACAAATATCCACCCATGTTGATTAGAAGGTGCCGGCCAGGATTTAATCGGTATTGCTCAAATTAATGGAAATCCCTAGTCTAAAGACAGTTATTTTCATCCTCCGACCACACAGAATGTACATCTGTTTAAATTCTCTTTGAACACCTCTACAACACAACATCAGACCACAACTTCAAGTCTGGATTTCAAACAACGTGGGATGATACCAAACATGAGTAAGTTACTAGAGGACGAAATCCATTGGATCAGAAATTGTTGGAATCATTCTATTAAGTTACCAAAGTAGCAAATTCACTAGATCAGAAATGAGCACCTCATTCTCTTAGATTCTTACTGTAACAAAATCCAGTGGATCAGAGATGGTCTACACCTGTTCTCTTTCAACACTGGTTCGGGAACCAGAAAGTGTGTCTTGTGACATAAAACCAGCCATTTTCACCAGCGATTAGAGTCGGCAATAAAACTGGCACCATCTTGCTATATGAAAAGCATTCTTGTGACACGCCAGATCCCAGGCATAGCCAAGGTATAACATTCAGGAAGCATGCAAGAGACGCAACGTTGTCGTTTAGGGAAGACTTGGGTTTTGACTTTTCCTAGGAGCAGAACTCTAGGCAAGTATCTTATCACACCTTGATTAAAATGTGGTGGGGCCACCAAAGTCAACATCAGATTGCTCCAGGCCACAGTTGTCCATCCTTCCTTAGATGAAGCTTAACACCATCCTCCTTTAGAAAGGGGGGGGGAGAAATGTAGCAGAACAAGAGTAAAACAGTTTGCCGTGGCCACCAGAGGCATGCCAGAAAACTTGGGTTGTCTTCAGAAAATGGACAAAACAGTGAAGACTGTGAAACTCAGTTAAGTCAACTCTTAAGATCTTACTTCTTAACAAGACCGTTATTGGCTTTGTGGGCCGTTGTGGGCATCTCCCTGCCTTTTAAAATCAAATAATAATTGAATATGAGCAAAAGCAAGGCAGAGTAAAGGAGATTTAATAAAGAGGATCTCTGCTGCAGAGGGAATTTTGCCTTGGCAGTGATTGTGCTACTAATTGATCGGTGCGTTGCCCGGGAGCGGCCACAGACAACAATTACACGCGGCGCTAGGAGCTACAAAACAAAGAACACAGCTACCTCCTCGGCTCTCGCTGTCCGCTGGTTTCACCTGGATCGGTCTGTTCATCTGTGAGGAAACACAAAGGAGAGACAAGAAGCCCAGTTAGCAAGAATTCTTAAGAGCTGCCTGATCAGGGCTGACATTTTACAACAATCACTATGGCGGGTGTCTCAGTGTGTGTGTGTGTGTTAATGGAAGTGACATAATCTCGCTTGCATCGTTTCCTTTTTCTACCTCTGGAATTGCATTCCACTAGCATTCCACCTCTGTTGCATTGCTTATCCTCCTGAGAGTCAAAGTGACTCCTTAGACCTTTTGCCTTTGAGAATATAGTTGAACGTTCATGATACCTGTTCGGTGAATTCTCTGATCTTATACAGGAACTGAATATGAATGAAATTCAGTGGTTGAGGCCATGGGACCACAGAGTTCCTCTTGTTCCACCCCGTCATGCGAATCATTCAGAATACACAGGTTGCTTGCATTTCTGCAAGCCGTCTGGGTTCTGCATCTCTGCTACATTCATGGTAGGACTCACGCACAACTAGGGGAGCGGCCACATATGTACATTCATCCAATGACAGCTCAAACATCCAGTGGTGGCTTGTTCATACCACAGAGAACACCTTTAGGGTCACCCAAAACACACACCTCGCACACAACGGCTTCCAAAGATCCCCACTTACACAGTCAAGCATGCATCACTAAAAGTTGATCCACACATGTATGAACAAACACCATTCTTCTACATTTTATTTTGCAAAACAGTTTCCCTGAGTTTGGGTATTTGGGCTTGCTTTCTCATTCCATTTCTCATCTCTTACTGTTGTTTTTCATTTTTGGGGTGGTGGCGGCGGAATGTCTTCATCCAGACTTAGAACAGTTCACGACAAACACGCCAGCATTTCCTCTGCTTTGTTTGAGTGTCTAAAATCAAGCAGCCCTGAAGGATGGAGGCCCCCCCCGGGCTTCGAGTCAAGCCGCTTGCAATTTTTAATGCAAGTGTGATTAGAACTACAGTCACATTACCAAGAAGCACGTTCCCCCTCTTGAGACACAGAGCCGGCGTGAACTGCACAGCCCTCCATCATGTTAACCTACTTGTCCGCCACTTTGATAGCTTCTAAATGCTAAATATGTTTGCCGAGCAATTAGAATAAATCTAGATAGTGGTTATGAAATGCTTTCCCAAATGCTACAACCATGAAGGATAATGAAGAGAGAGAGAGAGAGATCGGAAAGAACAATGCTAACCTCATAGATGGGCAGGGACTAATGAGAATGATCTAATTCGGAGAAGACTCTAAGGAGGGTTTTGAGTCTAGAGGGACTCGAACACCTTGGGGGGCAGCACCACACCCCTCAAAAATGGGCAGCTAGTCACTCTGCATGCTGCTTGGTCACCAGGGGAAGTCGACCTCGATTGGCCATCCCGGCATGTGTCGGGACATCCAGAGCTTGCATGTCCACTAATAGATGCTGGGGGCTGTACTCCCAAAAAGTAATCTAGCCAATGAGCTCTTAGTGATCCCAGTGGCTTTGTCATCCTAAGGACAGGCCCACCCCTTGGATTCCACTGGGGACAAAGCAGAGTAGAAAACAGTAAACTGAACTCTATTTCAAGATACTGAAGTACCAGGCAGCACCAGCAACCACTATGTTAGACTGCACAGGGAAGCCATTGAAATCCATAAACATCAACAAAATTTCAACAAAAATGATGAAGGCCTTAAACTAAATGCGCCCTGGCTCCCGATATTGAAAAATACAGCCTGTAAAAGGTCAATGAACTCTACCCAGCCAAAAGGACCAGGAATGATTGCACACAAAAAAAAGACCAGATAACCCATCAATCACAGTAACAGATAATCTCCCCTCCTTATTGCAACAAAAAACACGCTGATCACCCTATCTACTGGAAAAAGACAAAAATTGTTCCCACTGCTATAAATACTCAACTATCCAGCAAACAGCAACACAGCATGGACAAAGTTCCTACTCCAGTCCTCTGAAGAGGCCGGCCACAGAGACTGGCGAAACATCAGGAAGAACAACCTTCAGAACACGGCCAAAGAGCCCGAAAAACCCACCACAACCATCAGATCTCGGCCGTGAAAGCCTTCGCGAATACAGTAAACTGAACCTTGATCAGTATGGACAAATGCCCTCTCACAGACAGATTCCAAACCTGATCTGTCATCTTTATTCATTCTTATTTATTGAAAATATAGTTATCCCACCTTTATCCTTAAAAAAAAGGACCCAAGGCAGGTTACATCCTTAAAAGACAGTGTTTAAAGCTAAGGGGACAGCCTGCCATCCTGCTGAAAAGGATTCCCAAGTCTGGGAGCAGTGACACAGAAGGTCCGCTCCCGTGTCCCCACTAAGCACACCTGTGAGAGTGGTGAAAGGCCTTCCCTAGTGATCTTAACACCTGGGCAGGTTCATAAAGGGAGATGCAGTCCTTGAGATACCTTGGGTCTAAGCCACTTAGGGCTTTAGGTGAGAACCATCACTTTGAATTCTGCCGGGAATGGATTGGCAGCCAGAGGAGCTGCTGTAACTGGGAGGTTGTATCATCCCTGTGATCAGCCCCAGTCCGAAATCTGGCTGCTGTGTTTTGGACCCGCTGAAGTATCCTGACTCTTTCCATAGACAGCCTCCTCTTCTCCAAAAACTTCTGCCTTGACCAGCCTGGATGGGTTTGTGGAGATCAACGATCCAGTGTCTTGCCCCATCCTCTGAAGAACTGGTCTTCTGCACCATGGGCAACTTTGTAACATCTGCCTTAGGGGCTGCTTTCCGACATTAAAAGGCCTAGTTTTGTGTGGTATAAACCGTGCGGAAACCATCTTCCTATCACATCAACTAGAAAGGGTGAGTTTTAAGCACACGATCCAGCGTCAAATTGTGTTACAGAAATTCAAACTGATAGTAATCTAATTCAATCTCCACATTCCACACTATTTGGAAACTCAAATCTGTTAGAAAGAAGGCTTTTGAAAAACGGTATGGGAAGTATTACATTTTTTTTGCAAGATTTTCTTATCAATGGAAATAAAGACCTCCATGTCTTCTTTGGTTTGGAAATCCCAAGCAGCTTGGTGTTTGAAGGAGAACTAGATCCTATTGTTCTGCATCTGACTGGCTACATAATATTTCAGTGTCACATTAAAGCAAGCAGTATGGAGTAGTGATTGGCTTAGGAGAAGATTCAAATTTCTACTCTTGCGCAGTTTCTACTCTTGGCAGTTAATCTTGAGTCAGTCATTGTCTCTGGTATGACTCTAGCCAGCAGGGCTGGTGTGAGGATAAAATAATCTGAGAAGAGAGACATCTATCAAATTTGCTTGGAGTAGGAGAACAAACCTATCAGTTCTGAGGGAAATCAATCCTGAGTGCTCATTGGGAGGACAGAGCCTGAAGTGGAGGCTCCAATCCTTTGGCCATCTCATGAGAAGTGAAGACTCCCTGGAAAAGACCCTGATGTTGGGAAAGTGTGAAGGCAAGAGAAGGGAACGACAGAGGACGAGATGGTTGGACAGGGTCCTCAAAGCCACCAACATGAATCTGACCCAACTCTGGGAGGCAGTGGAAGGACCTAGCGTGCTGAGCGGGGGGTTGGACTCGATAGCCTTAGAAGCCTCTTCCAGCTCCATGATTCTCTGATTCTATGGTTCTCTGATTCTATGACCCTGTTTTTGAGGGCTGAAGATTCTTGTTCCTTTCCTCTTGGCCGTTTTTCTTCATGCTTTGGCATGATCCCACCCCGACTTCATCAACTGGAAGAACAGATCTCACAAACTGGGGAGGGAAATGGCCTCACTGCACATCATGGCATGCTTCTATCTTGAGCATATCTAAAGGCCCAGTGTTTTTTTCAGAACATGTGTTTCTTGGGCCAAGAGAAAAACAGTGGGGTGAGGGTTGGGAGAATTAAAGTGTGGGAGGGGAGACGTTTCTTCAAAGAAAGGAAGAGACAGTGGGGGAAGTGAGGGAGAGGCCCTTGAAATTAACACGAACACACCACGCATAATTTAAGGTACGTGCAGATCTCTGCTCCTGACAATTCTTTGACAAACACAGACACACACAAAACCCGTGATACAACTTGAGATCATCTTGACCTGAGAGACGGCAGTTATGGAGAAAAAAACATTAAAAAAGAAATAATTCAGGTGGTGTGTGTGTGTGTATGTGTGTGTGTTTGCTCCCCTAAGAGAATCACTTCTTCCCACTTCACATCTGGAGAGAGAATGGGTAGCAGAGCAGAGCCCGGGAGAAGAGGAGGAGCTGAGTGGTGCATCAGTGTAATTGGGATGGGTCCCAGGTGGTTTCAGTCACTAGAGGTGAATTAATTTTTCATTTGCATGCATGTATGTGGGCACATGCATGTACAAAATTTATGGACAGAGCCCTATGCCTTAACATCTGCCAGAAAGAGGAGCAGGTTGCCTGAAGAACACAGCAATTGCTAACTGTGATATATGGCATGATCTGACTGCCCCCTTTTTAAGTTCTCTGAATCTTTATAAATCTAGCACTTCCCTCAATGATTCAGGTGCCTTGTCTTGGCCATTTCAGCTTTCTTTCTTTCTTTCTTTCTTTCTTTCTTTCTTTCTTTCTTTCTTTCTTTCGTTCGTTCGTTCTTTCGTTCGTTCTTTCGTTCGTTCGTTCGTTCGTTCGTTCGTTCGTTCGTTCCTTCCTTCCTTCCTTCCTTCCTTCCTTCCTTCCTTCCTTCCATCCATCCATCCACTATCTATCTATCTATTGTTATTAACTACATATTCAAATGCCTATCTGTCAAGAATTTACACAATTCCACCTTTCCCAAAGCATCCTCAGCAAAGGACTAGAGAAAGCCTGCTATCTTAGAACTGCAAAGCTTGAAAGGACCCTATGGATCATTGGAGGCCGAGTGGGGAATCAAACTCCCAACCTCTGGCTCTGAAACCAGATGCTTAAACTACTGAAGAGTGGAAGGGGCCCTATGGATCATCAAGTCCAGCCCCTGTCAAGAAGGCAGAGTGGAGAATCGAACTCCCAACTTCTGAATCCTCAGCCAG